TTTGAGGATTCTCTGATCTCTGGTTTCATGGAAGCCTCATTTTTCACTTTTCATTGCGAGGAAGATCTAAAACGACTTTGAGTTTTTCGTCGTCTTCTTCCTCGAAACTTCTTTGTGGCAGATCCTCTGGTTTTCATAGAAGCCTCATTTTCACTTGGGAAGAAATTCTGGCAGCAGTTTCCAAATAGAGTCCGTTCTTCTTCCCTTCCTTTGCACTTCTTTGTGCAGACTCTCTGGTTTCATGGAAGCCCTCATTTTCTCCTTTTCACTTGCGGAGCGAAATCTAAAACGACTTTGAGTTCTTCGTCGGTCTTCGTCTGCTAATTCCTCTAAACTTTCTTTGCGGCGGCTTCCCCTGCCGGAGTGGCCGAACCGCTCTCCAAATGTCAGTTGAAACCAGCAATTGATCTGCTGCTTCCTTATATTTTTGATATCTGTCCTCGTCCTCTGAAAACCGTCGCAGCTTGAGCATTGGCTTTTCGGGAAAAGCTGTGGTGAGGGAAGCACCTTATCATTTCCCATGCAAGCTCTCAAGATATGGGCGATGTGGTAAACAATATCTTCGGTTTGAGAATCGCATTGATAAAAACTGAACTCGCTGGACGAGGTTGGTGTGGCTGTGTGTGAGTTCTTGAAGACCTACTGTTCACCCCTCTTTGTTATGGGATACTATGAACAAAGCACAGGAGTGCCTTGAGACTGTTGGGTTTCACTCTGTTGGAGTCCTTAGTGCCATATACGAAAACAGCGAGTCAAGACAGTTCCAAAACTGGCCTCAACATCTTCTTCTGGGTCACTCTGTCATAATTACGAGTCCTTTGCCTATAAACCTAGGCCGCCGAAAAACCAAAAATGGAAAGAGTTAGATGAAAGGTTTTAAAGTAGGATTGCAGCTCGCTGAAATCTCAATTTAAGAGTGCTGTGGAAGCTGGTGACTTACGTGGGAAGGGAGGGCTGTGATGCAGCGTTTTTTGTGGTTTCCTCTCCACCAGATCCATCCACTTATATACCTGAGGTATAAGTAACTCCAAGATCAGGATGTGTGTGAGCGTATCTATGATCTCCTGACACATTCTTGTAGCAAGAAGAATGATCATGTCTGAGTCAATTTGCCCATCTGAATAACAACTGCCAAACTCCTGTAAGAAAATACAAGTAAAGTTTAGTGAAACAAGAGATGTTTACGCCAGGTCTGATCTGAGCTTATCTGCTTGATGACTTTAAACGTGTTACTTACACATCTGTGCAGTCGTTGAGGAATGACTTGATTATGGGTTGGAATATGTCTGGTGTTAACATAGGCATATCCAAATCGCTGCACATTAGTTCTCCCATTTCGTCTGAAGCAGTCTGGAAATAAAGCAAATCAGGTTTTAAAAGTCAAGAGGATGAGACTTTAACAAATGTTGTACAAGTTCAAAATGTGCCAGAATGATTTAGTAATGGTTGCAAGGCAAGACAATTTGATTTAAATAGCACTTTTCAGCACGTGGCAATTCAAAGTGCTTTACAGATTAAAAGCAAAATACATTTAAGAACAAATACATTATAAACACATTATTAAAAAGGCATTTAAAAACAGGCATAAGAAGCAAAGGTAATGAAATAAATTCAATAAATAAACACAGCAGGTACAGAATACATGACTAAAAAGGCATACTGTAGTGTTGTGCTAGTTACTGAAAACCAGTACCATTACTAGTTACTTCATTTCAAAAGTAACTCAGTTACTTTACTGATNTAGCACTTTTCAGTTCATATTCAAAGTGCTTTACAGATTAAAAGCAAAAGGCATTTAAGAACAAATACAGCATAAATACATTATTAAAAAGGCATTTTAAAACATTAAAATGCCTTTTTAATAATGTATTTATGCTGTATTTGTTCTTAAATGCCTTTTGCTTTTAATCTGTAAAGCACTTTGAATATGAACTGAAAAGTGCTATATAAATAAAATTGCCTTGCCTTGCCTTACCATGCACACCGCCCTCCTTTTTGGCCAATCAGAAACCTGTTTTTGTTCGTGGAGGCTGGGATAGAGAGAAACAAACAGGAGGTCTCACTCTGCAACTTTGTCTGGTTACCACAAATAACCCCTTCTTTCCTCGTTCGTTAACTTATGATACTGTTATAAAAGACAAACCTAAATATCAAACAACATAACAATATAAAACTTTCAGTATCAAAGCAACATTTGGAATACACTTCTTTTTTTTAAATGGGCGGGATTTTGGCTAGATACCAGGATATAATCCGGTCTCCTCCACATACTTGAATAGACGATCATCTCTCTTGGTTGATTTCACTTCACTTGCCCTTCCTGTTCAGTAACAACAACAGTCATGGCGGCTGCTGCACGGTTCTTCATCCGAGGGGCAAACTCCAAACTTTCCATCACCGGCATTGGCAACGGGACTCAGAGTTCCTTTGGAGGTACTCTGGTAAAATTGTCTCCCAGCTCCAACTCTCGCACAAAAACCCAACGAAGACATGCGCACTTTACCTTCCAGCCTGACCCCGAACGGACACAATATGGTGAGTGCGGGCTAGTCGGCTGCTAACGATCGTTAAAAGGATATCATTGGGGAATTTTCCACAGTTAAGCAGTTAAAAAGAAGTTGTTATGCAGCTTATATGAACACCTCCTGTGTTTTAAGATATAAAGGTGGCTTATATGTATTCAGTTGTCATTAAGGAATAGAGAGTTTACTCTTCAGCCGGTACACTTTTAACTATTTTAGTTTAAAGTTGAAAAGGTGTCATCCAGACTTATTTCAAAATTACTGTTGATAATTTGTATTATTTTGGAGGTTTCAGGTTTCCAAATCAATCTCGTGTAAATTGCATACAAGACTGGATTGTATATTTTTCTACACTGGGATGCTTTCATACATCCAGGTGTTAAAGGGATATTTAATTTGAAGTAGTGCACAGAGAGACTTCCTTCAACATATGAATGTGAAATCAGCCATCTCTTCACCTGGCTACACAAGTGAAGAATGTATCGCCAAACAAGTAAATCAACAAGGATGGCATTTTATTACAGAAAGCACTTATGGTGTATCTAATACTAGTACACGCATCTTGTAGATGTGATTGTGTCACACAAGAGGATGCTGTCTTCTATACATTCTTATAGTCAGTCCCTTTTAGAGGTATGAACCTATTGTCTATCATACAGTTCATTTAACCAGGATATTGGCACTCAAACAATTGATTCCATTTTGACAAAAAAGCATCTCAACTCATTTTCCAAATCCAGTTTGTTCAGTTTCCTTATTGTAGTTTATTTCCTGCAATAACCGGTATAATCTCTTAAAAATTTGTTTACCAAAGTACTGTGTGTCAAATACAATGCCAATGAAGAATATGTGCATTTGTCAAGTCCTTTAAAAGATAATGTTTTGTTAATATTGTACAACATTTTTAGGTCCTACCCAGAAGATGAACTTGTTCCAATCCGTTACAAGTGCCTTGGACAACACTCTCGCCAGTGATCCTACAGCAGGTAGGATGCTTACACAGGAAATGAAAATGTATAGCTGTCATCAGATGATACTACATTTAAAAGTGTACCTGTATTTCCTCTTTAATCATACATTTTTGAAAAAATGCACAGGCATTTAAATAATAGACCTTGAATAAAGACGTGCAAAATGTTTGCCTACTTTAGGATCCACAAAACATTGCACTTTTTTTAAACATTAGATTGACCAACCTGCCGGTCAGCCTTCCATCTGTGCACAAACTTATCTTATCTTACTCATGTGCGCGTTCGTGTGTGTTGGAGGAGGGGCTCTGTAAGGAAGTAGCAGATTTCTTCCGGCTGTGTATTTTCAAATTCTAGCGCACTCGAGCTGGTTTCTCCAAAATGACCTACCCCACCTTTAATGTGGCCAGTTGTGGGGTCATGTTATTTTAAGAAAAGTACAAATCTTTAGTCGCATCTTCATCGTTTCTGCAGGTAAATGTGTGCCAATCCAAATGAAATGCCTTGAGACTGCAGGGCCATGTGCACATAAACACACAGACATGAAACAAGTTGAGAGAATTAAGTAAAAAATGCTCATACTAAATAAAAAACCTAATATAAAGAAGCATTAGTAGTGGCACAAAAAAATATCCATCGGATGCTCTTGCCTATACATTTCTGAAGGTTAAGAGTTAATTTAAAAGACTATAATACCTTTTTATAATGCCTAAAAAAAGTTGATAAAAACCCATTTCAATTATGAAAATGGTATTGTAATTTAAATCATATGTTGTACAACTGTAGAATTGTAGGGGGAAAAAGGTGTATATATAACCTGTTATTTGTGGTTAAAAAAAAAAATCTTGCAAACAAACCAAATTCCAAATAGGAAAACATTGGTTAATGTCAGAATCTCTATTTAAAGTTGCGGTATTTAGAAGAAATGTCCCCAATGAAAGGTTGGTGAATTTTGCTTGATGTTAGTTTACCCTCTTAAAGGGTAAATGATACTTGTGTCATTTGATCACTGACTGTTGTTTGTTTGCCCATAGTCATCTTCGGGGAAGACGTTGCCTTTGGTGGAGTATTCCGATGCACAGTGGGTCTGAGAGATAAATATGGTGAGTTGTTTCAATCCCTTTTCATTCTCACCATTAATTATATTACATTACATGTCATTTAGCTGACGCTTTTATTCAAAACAACCTACAAATATGTTTATTCTAAGACATGCATACTTAATTTATGGACCAGTATCTTGGCAACACTGCAATGTTTTTTTGGTTTTTTTGGTTTTACAGGGCCTGGGGATCAAACCACCGACCCTCTGCCAATCACCTTAATTGCCCATTCCCCCCCTGAGCCACATCCACCTTATTCAGAACCTTCTACTACTAATTTTGCTTAATAAAACCCCTAAAAAACCCACCTGTCATCCACCTGTTCTTCTGCCTGCTGCATGTTTTTGCCACTAGATGGCAGCAGAGCACCGTGCAGAGCACCGTGCAGAATCCTCTCTGGAAGGTCACATGAGTGTTCAGTGTTCACCCCGTTTGTACTCATTTGTCCTTCAGTAGAGTAGCCTTACAACCTTGAAGGTGATATAGCAGGTCGATTCTACTGCTGTGAGTTTGTTGGGAATATACTCTTTTCTTTCTGTTGCTCAAATGTTATTATTACATTTACATACTACATTAAGAGTACTTACGTTTGATAGTAAAGCTACATGAACACTAGGACATTATGACACATCAAAGAAGGAACAGGACTGTTTTAAACTATCACATGATGTAGACAAGCCACTTATTAATTTCATCATAAGTAGCACGTAATAAGTAACACCTGTAGACCTAAAGAGTGGTGCAGCAATGACATTTTTATGGAGGCCGGACCGGAAGTTGGTATCACAAGGTCTCTCTTTACTAAAAGGAATGGGATTTCTCCATTGGATTTTGGGATATTGCTGGATATTGGATATTTTATGATACTTAAAGGGGACCTATCATGCAAAATGCACTTTTGATGTCTTTTATACATAAATATGTGTCCCCGGTGTGTCAGGGAACTCACGCAGCGTCAGAAAATAAAACCCTCTCTCTTTTCCTCCGTACCCAAATCTCTAAAAACGGGGCTACAACGGAGCTGATCCAGGTTTGCGTCCGATATGATGTAATATAGGAAATGTAGGCTGGCTTTACACCCACGGCCCTATCACAAAACGTTGATATCGGAAACAATGCCCGACTGTTTTGGACGTAATATGGTCGGTGCATGTTTACGTTAGCATCGCTAACACTCAGAGCTAACCTGTACTGAAGAGCATGTTTGTGAAGAAGCAGGAAATAAAAAGGAACTCACCTTGTGGTANTCTCACCCACCTTCAAGGCGGGGTAGAACTGAAGGCCAGGTACCCCTGGAAAAAGCCTTTTTAATACGTAACTTCAGTTACTTCTCTCTTTGCATAGAAAGCTAGGGCAAACTTAACACAGTACTTAATGTGTATACTACAAACAGTTAGAAATTTTTTTAGTAAAGGTACAGTTTTTCAGTTTCAAACAGCATTTGACAACTTTATATTCCTGATCTTTTTATGCGTCTTGATCTTTCTGATGTTTAGGGTCTAAACATTCACTACAGTATTGACAAAAGGAGGGTGTGATTCTCTATCGATTCTAATCCGCAGTATATCTATTAGATAGATATACCGCCAACCTAATTCTATTGAAATGGTTCTACGGACACACGAAGGGGGGGGGGGGGGTTAAAGAGCTACTTCCTGGTCCACTCTGTTTTTGATAAGCTCTGTGTAAATGGAGTGTTTCCATCATTAGTCAGATGTGATGATTCAGTCCACTGAGTTTTTCTGCTCTTTTGAAATAGAATGTTTTCTGTTCTTGTTGTTACATATCAGGGACTGCTGACAAAGAGCAACTTCAGCGTTTGAGTTATGGTTATTTGTTTCACATCTGCTCTGTGAATAGCTTTGTAGGTCTTTCAGTGTTTCTTTTTGATAAATCCTTGTCTAATCTGAAGCTTGTGTTGGAAAGAATCAGTAGTATGCTAAAGTGATAATTTGCTTTACAGTACATGTCAAAACAAAACCTAAAAGCATCTTCACAAGTAATCAAATGATGCCCTCAATCTTCTTTGCTGACCTTTAATATTGCCCGTTGTGGTTACATGCCTGTTTGTTTACAAAGGAATTTTACACAAAAGTTTAACATATCGAAATAATCAAGCTGAGTTTTGTCTTCAATTATAAGATTTGGGCATTGCCCTTTTTTTTCAACATTTAATGTATTGTTTTGTTTGGTTTTATATAACATTTTGAGATATTTTTGTTACAGTCCAATTCTAATGTCTGACTATTCTTCAGTATTAAGTCCATTGCTCTTTGAACGGGTGTACTTGCATTATTATGCTTTTATTTGCTCTATTTGATCAATAGCAAGAAATTGTCTTACATAGGACAATATTGTTTATCACAATTATTTTGGGAAACTATCTTCCAACACAATAAGTTATGGTGACAGTGACAGGCCTCGACTGTAATACTTGGTTTCCGGTAGAGATTCTCTTGCGTTGAGTGACGCTGTGTTTGCCTTCATCAGTCATCCAGAACATTTTGTACACACAAAACACAAAGAGTTTATAGGTTGTCACCCGTGTAGTGGTAGCAGCTTTTCAAGCAACCTCTCAGGGCGTAGGTTTGTTTGGTGACGTTGCTCATCGCTCACACGGTTTCAGTCCTGAATGGCCAGTAACTCTTACGGAGGGACAGGAATGCTTGTATTTGCTTATCCCAGCAGGCACTGCCCTAGTAATAAGTAACCAGCAACGTGTGAATCATCCCAACAGAGAAAAGGAAATGTACAGTGTTAAAGTACAGCATGGACAAAGTGCAAGGGCAAGCATTAGAGCAGGATAACGACATCAGAGGAGTGTGATAAGCAATGTACTGAGTCTGTTGGCTAATGATAGAGTGCTGTAGGTGTGTCATAGTGAAAGAGATGGGTTTGACAGTCGCAGGGAGCCAGGTGAAACAAGGAACAGAGTGTTTAAGGAAAAGATTTGACTGAAAAGACAAATCACAACAAGTCAGAAAAACATATTGAAATAAGGATGGCGGATCGAGGGATTTATACTGTTAGCTCAGTATGAAATGTTGAAAGGGGCCGTATTATGCTCTTTTGGGTTTCTCTTTCCTGTAGTGTGTTTTATATGTTTTGGTGCATGTAAATGCTAGAAGGGTTAGAAGCTCCCTCCAGACGCCTCACTTTGACTCCTTTGTTTACTTCCGTAACATAGTGACATCACCGTGTAACACTCGCGCTTGCCCTGTTGTCCTGTCTGAAGCATGCCATCACATTGCATGTGATGGCTAAGGAGTGGGACATCTCTAAGAGTTTGATCACAACTGGGCTCTTGTTTGAGACGGTGTGAAGAGTGGTGCTGCAGCACAGGCAGTATGAGGGTAAAGCTATAATAAAGCACTTTTTGAACATTAAAGCTTTGAACCATGTCACAGTAGAGGCACGACATTGAAATGAACATGAGCATAATGGGGCCCCTTTAAAGACTCAAGAAAAAGTTTAGGAACAAAAATGTGTGAAAATAATAGAAATCAGCCACCTCTGCTTTGGATCTCAAGTTGTCCACAGAGCAGCAATAATTCCCCTAGGATGCTGCGAGGGATTCAAAGCACTGGAGGAGGAATGTGTGGAGGAGGAACGTGTCTCAACCCTAATAAGAGCGATGGAAGGATGAAAGGCAGACAGAGTAAACAGTATTAAAAGAGGGAGTCATGTATAATGCATTGTTTAGGCAAAGCATGTAATTAGAGACGTGGAGAAAGGAGAGGGAGTAGTGTAAGTGCGATAGGAATGCAGCAAGAGGGAGAGAGAGGAGGATAGTGGGAATAGTATTAGTGAGAGAGGAATGTAGAGTGAGGCCCAAGCTGGGGAGGGTGGGAAAGAGAAAGAAATAAAGAGATGGAGGGAGGGGGCATTTTGGGTGGAATGTGGCCAGCCTCTGATCACGTCTGCTGACTAAATTAGACGGGACAGGAGGCCAGACTGGACCTCCGTCAACAGGGGGTATAAATGGATGGAGAGAGCGATGGAGAATGGTCTGGAAAGCGAAGGAGGGGGAAAGAAAGCGGAGGGCCACAGAACACTTAAAGGGGACCTATCATGCAAAATGCAATTTTTTTATGTCTTTTATACATAAATATGTGTCCCCGGTGCGTCGGGGAACTTACGCAGCGTCAGAAAATAAAACCCTCTCTCTTTTCCTCCGTACCCAAATCTCTAAAAACGGGGCTACAACGGAGCTGATCCAGATTTGCTGCCGATATGACGTAATATCTGAAATGTGGGCTGGCTTTACAACCACGGCCCTATCAGAAACGTTGCCATCAGAAACAATGCCCCACTGTTTTGGATGTAATATGGTCTTTGTTTACATTNTTAGCATCGCTAACACTCAGAGCTAACCTGTACTGAAGAGCATGTTTGTGAAGAAGCAGGAAATAAAAAGGAACTCACCTTGTGGTATAACCGGCAAGAGAGAAAGCCTTTGAGCTCCATACTGTTTCAGAAATAACACTTGATAATCCATGATATGGCGTTTCATCACCGCAGTATTTGCCGGTAGAACCTCCCGCATGAGCTCAGCGCCCTCCTTTTTTTTTAATCAATTTTTTTTCTTTTCTTTATACCCCAAATCAGCACTTTTGAAACGGGAAGTGAAATAGAGGGATATGAGGCATGGCTAGAATGGGTGATTTGTAGCTTTGAGCAAAACACTTCATAGGCATGTTTTTTATATATATTTATATATCTGAGACCTATGCTATTGCCTACAAATAGCATGCTAGGTGCACTCTAAACATGCTGTGTTCATTAGGATGATCTCCACTTAACACCACTTTTATACTAGTTCTAGATAAAAGCTTGAGACCCTTACCAGTGGGGTATTTACTCATGTATTTTTTGTCGTAAAATAAAACAGGAACATCTCTTTAGCTTTTATCAACCACAGATTTTATTTTAACAATCGACCAAAAAAATCATTAAAAAAACGAATTGACTTTAAGACAAGAGAGCCTAGGAGTGCTAAAAAAACTCATTACAGAGTTTATGACTCATTCCTGCACCATTCTATTCAGTGGCCAAAACAGGCTCTTCTTACTGGGACACTTTAATGTAGAAGAGCCATTGTCCATGTCATACATGACACCGGACAAAGCCCTATAGCCCTATTTGTCATGTCTTTTCTTCTGAGAGATTAACCTGTTGAGGGTTTCTTTTATTGTGCCTCAAATGTGTATATGATTGGATTCTTTTAAGAGGGAGTCAGCTCTGAATCACATCCAGCTGGTGCTGCTCCGTTCTCTATTGATGAATTATTTACAGCGGGTAGCAGTCGTGGCAGT